GTGGTCACAAACTCCTTTAATTTTTGTCTGGGAAACTTTTAATCCCTCCTCTTATTTTGAAATACAGTCTTGCTGGATAAAGAATTCTTGCTGCATTTTTTTCCAATTTAGTACATTAAATATAATCTGCCACTCCTTTCTGGCCTGCCAAGTTTCTGTGGATAGGTCTGCTGCAAACCTGATTTGTCTTCCCTTGTAGGTTATGGACTTTTTTCCCCTTGCTGCTTTCATGAGTCTCTCCTTGACTGAGTATTTTGTGAATTTGACTATGATATGCCTTGTTGATGGTCAGTTTTTGGTGAATCTAATAGGAGTCCTCTGTGCTTCCTGGATTTTTATATCTGTGTCTTTCCCCAAGTTAGGTAAGTTTTCTGCTATGATTTGCTCACATAACCCTTCTACTCCTTTTTCTGTGTCTTCATCTTCTGGGACCCCTATGATTCTAACGTTGTTCTTTTTTAAGGAGTCACTGATTTCTCTAATTCTTAAATTGTGCTCTTTTGCATTAGTCTCCCTCTTTTTTTCAGTTTCATTATTCTCTGTGAGGTTGTCCTCTTTATCGCTGATTTGCTGCTCTGCCTCATCCATCCTTGCTGCTGTGGCAACCATTTGAGATTGCAGCTCAGTTATAACATTTTTTATTTCATCCTGACTAGCTTTTACTTCTTTTATCTCCACAGAAAGTGTCTAATCTATTTTAGACTCCAGCTAGTATTCTTATTATTATGATTCTAAATTCTGGTTCAGACATCTTCTTGTATCTGTGTTGGTTAAGTCCCTGGCTATCATTTCCTTCCTGCTTTTTCTTTTGGGGTGAATTCATGAATTTCATCATTTTGAAGGAAGAAAAGGAATTAATGAGGTAGAAAAATTAAAATAAAAATATTAAAATTAAAAAATTAAAAACACACACAAAAATCAAATAAATGATGCTAGATCATAGGTGTGTTTTTGTCTGGGTGTTGACAGGGGCTTGATTAGAGAGAAATGTGGGGAGGGGAAGGAAATCATTTGAAAATTTGAAAAAATGAATACAATGAAATAGAATAAAATGAAATGATGGAAGTAAAATAGAATTTGAAAAATTTACAAAAAAGTAAAAAATATATAGCATAAAAAAATTAAAAGTATTTTTAATAAAAATTGAAAATAAAAATATTTTTTTTCTTTCTGTGTTCAAGAAGAAGAAAAGAAATGAAAAAGAGAAAATAAAATTGAAAAGATGGACCAGTGAGCAGACTGAAATAAGATTGAAATTACTTCATTTTCCCCTAGAAGTCAAACTATGAAGCGCTTTATAATCCATTAACTAAGCAGGCAGAGAGACTTTTGGTGTTCCTGAAGAGCGAGGTTGGCCCAGTTGGGTGGGACTTAGTGTAATGGCTCTGTTCCCCACTAGATGGTGCTGCTTAGCTTACTGGGGTGGATTGTTGTGGCGCTTGTAGGTGTGTATGTGGATGCGCAGGAAGGGTGAAAATGGCATCACCCAGGTACCCAGTCTCTGCTATCAGAACTCTGTTCTCCCCAATCAGCAATCGTGCACCTGTCCTTTGTCTCCAGCTTCTGTCCACTCCCCGCTTTTACACTGTCCCTGAGCAAGCCCCAGGCAACACCTCCCTCCTGAGTTTTATCTCAGATGTGGCTGTTTTCCCAACCCCTTACTTCTGGGGGACTGCAGCTTTGACCTATTCTGCCCCTCTGTGGGAGGGTCTCACTGAGTAATGGATGGGTGCCAGCCATACCCAGGAGCATTTGCGGGACCGTGCTGCTGCTGATGCCCAGAGACTGTGGCTGGGTGCCAGCCCACCCCAGAAAAAGTTCACGTGATCATGTGGCAGCAGCACTTCAGGGATTATGGAAAATCACAACACACATCTGGCACCAGGCTTCACCCTTAATGACCTTGTTCCAGTACCAGTGAATGTGGTTGTTTTCCCAGGTCCACTGGTGCCTTTACCTGGTCGGGGAGGGTGGGGGCACACAGCCTCTACCAGATGTCTTCCCAGCAGGGGAACTGACTCTCCCCATGTGTCCTGAAGACCCCCAGACTTTACCCTGCTCCTGAGGATTTGTCCTTCTCACCAGAGCACCACCAGGTATCGAACTGCAGAGTTTCAGTCTTTGCACCCCCCCCATTCATAGAGTCTTAATGAAATTTAAACCCTCTCCTTTCTCCTTTCTCCCTTTTTAGTTCAGTCCTTGCAGCTGTTTCCACTTTTCCACTTTCTCTCCAGCTGCTTTTTGTGGGGGGGGATTTCCCATATTCTCCCCCCAACTCCATCCTCTCTTCACATGCAAAAACAACTCCCTGCCCTCTGCGGCTTCACTCTACCCCCAGTTCACCTCTCCCCACCACATACCTGCTGAGTTCTGTGGTTCAGATTGTGCAGATTGTTGGCTTAATCCTCAAATCAGTTTTCTAGGTGTGCAGGATGGTTTAGTGTTGATCTGGCTGTATTTCATGAACGCAAGATGCAAGAAAAACTTCCATGCTGTTCTGCCAACTTGGCTTCTCCTTCCTAACATATTCTAGAAGAATATGTATGGTTTTGATGTAAGAGTTTTAAATTTTAAGTTGTTGATCTGAGATGAAGAGTCTTTTGAGTTGGGGTGCTGGACAGGCTATTGAGATTGTGTAGGTGTTTCTAGTTAAAAATTACTCAATAGACTTATAATGAAAATATAAACTGTTCTTTAATTTTTTCTGGAAATATTAGGAAAAAAACCATATGCAAGCCAAGAGATGTTTGCTATAGGAATTTTCAGCACAGCATTCTTTGGAAGACTAGAAATTGGCTCTACTTGTGTCATAGACATTTTTCAGAAACACTCAATAATTTGTCTACTTATGTTCCTCCTTGAGGTTCTGCTCACACACACAGCAAGGAATGTGCAAGGTGCTTTCACAGCAGGTTTCTTCCCTGACCAGGTCTGGCCTTTGGCAAAATTGTGAAATAAGTAAACCATGGCTGGTTTTCCCATTTGCCTTTAGTGTCCTATTCCCCGTTTTCTGGTTCACCTTTTCCTCCCAAGAATCAGTATTGTGTCTTCTTTCATATATGTTGTTTCTAAGTAGCTGTCACCTATTTAGAGAATCCCAGAAGGTTTACAGCTGGAAAGTGGCCCCACCCCCTCATTCTGCCTATGTGGAACCTGAGACCTAGAGGGAACAAGGGACTTAGACAAGGTATGGTTGCTTGGTGTTCTGACTCCACTGGTTGGAAGATGCTTTATCAAGACAAGCTCAAAATTGGACACAGAACCAGTAAGATGGTAGCTTATGGTACTTCCCATTTAAAGGGACATTTGAACTGAGAATACAGAATATGTAAAACCACTTTAAGCTCAAAAGGCAATTAATAAATCTCAGGGATGAAATGTCATGGAAGATTAGTGGGGAAGGTATTTTAAAGCCAAAGTCTTTCAAAGCCTCCTCAAACCTACTTTAAATGTTTCCTGGAAAGACTGACCCTGCTTCCCTATGACCCTTTTTGGAGCTGTGAGTCTGGCAAACAAGTTGTAGTGAAGACTCTGGGAATGTGCTGCTGAGGGTTACCTTGTATGACTTTAGGGAATTCCAATATAAGCAGAAGTATAAACAAAATATAAACCAAAAGATTAACAGCATGACTTATAAAAATGTCACCATAACAGACTAAACTTTTGTTTTAGAAGTGAGCTCCTTATGGAAAAGTTTGGTGAGGGACAAGAGGGACAAACTTTTCTTTTAATGTTTTTATTTATTTTAGAGACAATGAGAAAGCACAAGTTACAGAGGGGCAGAGGGAGAGTGAGACAGGATCCAAAGTGGGCTCGGAGCTGACAGCACAGAGCCGATGCGGGGCTCAAACTTACAAACTCTAAGATCATGGCCTGAGCTGAAGTCAGATGCTGAGCCAACTAAGCCACCCAGGCATCCCAAGAGACAAACTTTTATTCCACAAGAGTTAAATTTAATTATTTGTCCAGATAAATCTCTAGCTCAAATTACTTACCTTGAGTTTGTAGAAATTTGACATCATATCCCTGTGTTTCAAAAGAAAATATCTTTTCCATTTTTTAAAGCAAACATTTTAATATTTTTTAACTTTTTAATTTCATTTTTGAGAGACAGAACATGAATGGGGGAAGAACAGAGAAAGAGGGAGAGACAGAATCTGAAGCAGGCTCCAGGCTCTGAGCTGTCAGCACAGAGCCTGATGCAGGGCTCAAACCCATGTGCTGTGAGATCATGACCTGAGCCCAAGTCAGGCACTTAACCGACTGAGCGACCCAGCCACCCCTAAAGCAAACATTTTAATCCCATTAACCCGGAGTGAATTTTCTTTTACAGTTAACTTTATACTTGTCTGCTGTCAAATCCCTCACACTAGGCCAAGTTGTGTAGAGCCATTGGGAATAGGCATAACTGGAGCCCCCAGAGCCAGAAGGCTGGTGGATGACAGTTCTCTGTGTGATTGCCCCATTGGTGGATTGGAACTAAACAATTGGAACTAAACACTTCTTAAATATTCCACAGAGAAAATAAAATGTGTACTATTTTCTAAGTAAGTTTTTGGGCTTTTAAATTAAGAATTTTGAGGGGTGCCTGGGTGGCGCAGTTGGTTAAGCGTCCGACTTCAGCCAGGTCACGATCTCGCGCTCCGTGAGTTCGAGCCCCGCGTCGGGCTCTGGGCTGATGGCTCAGAGCCTGGAGCCTGTTTCCAATTCTGTGTCTCCCTCTCTCTCTGCCCCTCCCCCGTTCATGCTCTGTCTCTCTCTGTCCCAAAAATAAATGTTGAAAAAAAAAATTAAAAAAAAAAATTAAGAATTTTGAGTTAAATTTTTTAAAAAGAGAAATCTGTGTACTAATACAGACTGAACTTATAGAAAGGGTTTGAGAGCTAGATAAACAAAGAAAGAGAGAGGTAGCAGTGTTTTAAAAATTATTTCTCAGCAGAAATCAAGGAATTAAGGTATATTCTCCTTAACAACCCAAGTGTTTTTCTTTTCCACCAAAGATGGAGTTGTTGTCCTGCAAAAATAAAAAGCAGTACAGGGGATCCGCCCTCTCATTCCTGGAAGCCAGGTGGGCCCTGAGGAGGGCAGTAGCAGGACCAGAAGGTAGGAGAGGGTCCAATGATGGCCATTCAGCTCTCCTTTCTTTCTAAATGACCCACGGAAGAACTCTTTAGAAGCAGTGTATTAGGGCTGTTACCACCTGGCAAAGATGAAATGCCATAGGAATATCTGGGCTGGGAGGCCCAAGAGCAAAAGAATGGAGACAATGAAGTTCTATAAATCCAGTCCTTTTTGTCTATATTAAAGCCCTCTGACCTCTTCCACTTATTATTATATAAAAGCAAGCTTTTTGTTTTAAAATTTTTTGAAATAGAAGACAAATTCCATTTAGAGAACAATAGAGCCAAACATTAGACTGAAATGGAAAATGGAATTCAAGTTTCCTCACATTTTCCCAGAAAGCCACAAATACAAACTATACAAATTGAAATGTGTGTATTTGCTGTATTTAGGCAGTGGGTTATCACTACATGCTAAAGACTAATATGGGAGTAACATAGGGAAAAAATTCTTTAAAAATTTATTTTTTTTAAATGTTAAGTCCTAGCATAGCTTTCAGATAAGAACTTACAGAAAGCTGTCTTGAATGTAATTGCTGTCTTAAGTTAGCAGTTAGTAGTTGATGAGCCAGCTTTTCAAGGAGAAAGTCTCTTCAAATCAATTCTACCATAATTCCATAGAATGAAAAGTAGAGATGAACAGTATTTACTTGAAAAGCAGTTACTTCAAGAGTTCCTTCTTGCATTGTTTGCTTGTTTTTAGTTTTTAGTTTATTTGCTTTTCATTGTAAAAATCTAGTAGTGTTTTGCTATGTACATGACATTATTGATTTTCTCCTCATGTCATTTTAAAATGGCCTTTTACCCTTCCTGCGTGAGAAAGGGAAATGTCAGGAGAAAATGTGTTCAGGATTTGATTGCTAGAGCAGTGAGGTCCGAATGTAAAAGGCAGTATTAAGTTAAAATTTCCAGCACAGTGTTATTTTCATTCAGATTGTTACTGCTGTATTCATGTATCAGAAATCAAAAGGAGACAATGTACTGTTAAATGAAATAAATGGTATGCAGAGCTCAAGAGAAAATAAACTGATCAGATACATGTAAATTTATATGTGGATCTGATTAAACTTCTTTTCAAATAAAATCAATACTTGGGTTTTTGTTTTGTTTTGTTTTGTTTTTGTTTCTTTTAGAAAGCAGTTAACATTCAACCTAAGCAACAGCTTGCTTCCCTTAGACATGATATTTTTCATTCCTCCCTAGTAGGCATTGCTGCTAGTGAAAAGGGATATTGTTTTCCACACACTGGGAAGTATTGTTATAGGTAATTAAAAACCAACTGTTTAGGGGCGCCTGGGTGGCTCAGTTGTCTAAGCATCCAACTTCAGCTCAGGTCATGATCTTGTGGTCTGTGGGTTCGAGCCCCGCATCAGGCTCTGTGCTGACTGCTCAGAGCCTGGAACCTACCTCAGATTCTGTGTTTCCCTCTCTCTCTCTGCCCCTCCCATGCTCATGCTGTGTCTCTCTCACTCTCAAAAATGAATAAATGGTAAAAAAAATTAAAAGACAAACTGTTTAATAAGCTAATATAGCAAACAATAAAAAAAAGTCATCAGGAGGTTACAGACTGAAAAAAGAACTTTGTTTTTGTAGAAAAAGTAGCCATTAATCATATGAATTTTGTTTGGTTGTTGATGGTCACAGAAGTCTTCATGAAAATAGCAAATCTTAAGAATAAAATGAAAGGAGAGAGCTTACTGAATAGACAAAGTCACAAAAACAATGTGTAGATGCTTTTCTGTAGGGAGTAGCTATTGGACTTGTATTTGATAAAATCCCATCTCAAATTATTTTGATAGCTAATCTATTCACACTGTTGGAGAATTCCTAAGGACAGAAGCTGAGCATATTGCCTAGAAATTTCTTAGAAGTTATCTGAGAATGAATCAGCATAAACTAAGACAAAAATTTTAGTAACTTGGCCAAAGGCAGCAAACTGTCCCTGAGGTACATCTTCTTATTCTCAAAATTTCTTTGCCCTTCTTAATGAAAGAAACATACCTGAAAGTGCTACATAACAAAGAGTGAATAATAATTTAGGAAAATTTAAAAATGCCATACTTATTAGTTAGTGTCAGTGTCAGCAGCAGTCCACCTGACCCCAAGACTAGTCTTTTCACTGCCACAGGGCTTCTCACTCAGTTTTTGTATCCCATCTCATTTTTTTAGACTTTTTAAAACTTTTTTATTTGTTTGTTTTGAGAGAGAGCATGCACAAAAGCAGGGGAAGGGCAGAGAGAGAAGGAGAGAGAGAATCCCAGGCAGGCTCTTCACGCTGCCAGCACAGAGCCAGTCATAGGGCTCAGTGGATCATACAAACTATGACATCATGACCTGAGCAGAAATCAAGTGTCGGACTCTTAACCAGTTGAGCAATCCAGGCACCCCATATATCCCATCTCATTTTCAACTTGCCCTACCTGAAGTATATTAACTCTTGCATAAGGATTACTTTGTGGCATGAAATTATATTAAAACATTCAGTTTTCTGTTGTTTCTTCCCTTTTTTACCATCTGGTTATGAACATTATGTCAGAGTGAGGGTATAAAATTTTAATATTGTTATTATTTACTGTCAACAGCAGATTACCTCCTGTATTAATGTTGACAAGGATACTACTCTGAGACCTAGGGAGTCTAATTTCTTCATTTAGTATCAAAGTAGTTACCCACAGGTAAATATGATCCTGATATGTTACATGTAAGTTACATGTAAGAATGATCAGGCAGGAGAATTCAGATATAAATGACCATTGAAAACTCCTTATTTTTAAAATGGATGCTTTTGTTAGAAGGTCAAAGTAGAAGCTGCTCTTCATGTCAGAATGAGATCTAGTAACTATCCAAATAAAGAACCACATAGTGATCCCATTTCTCACTTTATTTAGTGAGCTCAAAGTGGGTAGTAAAAATTGGGTCTTCATTTACTGCTATATGAGATGCTCAGAAAATATGTCTATGTTTTAAGAACCTCAAAAATATCACACAAACTATTTTTTTTCTTTGCAGAGGGAGGGAAAGAGACAACCCCTGTTTTAAGCATAGCAACCTGCCTGCCATTGCACAGTGCAGGGTTTGCCCTGCATGTCAACATGACAGCCATGGTCAAGTAAATGTGGACATGGGGAGAATATGCACAAGTCTTTGCTGAGTAGAGGCTCATGAGTCTCAGTACTGCTCCACAGGGTCAGCCCTGTGCCTTAGTGTTTTTGTGGAAAACATGGGAATGGTAGAACACTGAAGATTTAAGTATGTCCCTAGGGGTTACTGACTTAGGAATTCATCAGACATCTACTTCTATGTTTATATACGTATCATTTTTATTTTTATAGGATTTTCCATATTAGGGGCTCAAAGTAAGTGAGATTTTATTGAGAAAATTTATTTTTTCATATTTGTTCCCTCTTTCCATTCATACATTTAACATATATTCAGTGTATACTATGTGTTCTCTGTTCTGGAGATACATTAGTAAGCAAAGGCAAAGTCCTTACCCTCATGTGATTGCATTCTAGTACTGGCAGAAAAAAGATGAACAGCATTCTTTATACATTAAATATAAGCCTGAGAGAAATACTAAGGAGAAAAATAAAGTAGTAAACAGCAGTAAGAGTAGGCATTGCAGGGCACCTGGGTGGTGCAGTCAGTTAAGCATCCGACTTTTGATTTTGGCACAGGTCATGATCTCGTGGTTTGTAGGATAAAGCCCCACATCAGGCTCTGTGCTGACAGTGTGGAGCCTGCTTGGGTTTCCCTCACTCTCTCTCCCCTTCCCTGCTCAATCTCTCTCTCTCTCAAAATAAATAAGTAAACATTTCTTAAAAAGAGTAGGCTTTGCTATTTCTAGGCCATTTTGAGGATTTGAGGTTGAGAAGGATTTTTAAGGATGAGAAACCACTGGAGAATTTTGAGCAGTGATGACATGCTCCAACTTAGGTTAACATCCATTCATGATGAAAACTTCCAACAAAGTGGTTAAGTAGGAAATATACCCTCAACTTTATAAAGGCCATATATAACAAATACTGACAAACAATTGAGGTGGTACTCAGTGGTAAGAGGCTGAAAGCTTTGCCTCTAAGATCAGGAAGAAGACAAGGATTCTCAGTCTTGCCACTTTTATTCTACACAGTATTAGACACAACAATCAGATGAGGAAAACAAAAGGCATCTTACTTGGTAAGAAAGAAGTAAAACTATCACTTTTTGCAGATTGACATGATAGCAAATATAGAAAACACTAAAGACTCCACCAAAGCACTACTGGATCCAATAAATGAGTTCAGAAAAGTTGTAGGATACAAAATTAATATACAAAAATTTCCATTGTGTTTCTATATACTAGTAAACTACCAGAAAGAGAAAAATTATTTCAAAAACTCCCATTTGCAATTGCATTAAAAAGACTAAAATAAAATACCTATGAATAAATGTAACCAAGAAGAGGAAAGATCTGTACTCTGAAAATTATAAAACGTAGATAAAAGAAATTGAATGACACAAATAAGATATGGAATGCTCACGGATTGGAAGAATTGTTACTTGTAAACAATGGCTCAATTCAATCTACAGATTCAATGAATTCCCTATCAAAATACCAGTAGTTCTGTGTGTCTGTTTTTGTGCCAGAACCATACTGTCTTGACAGTTACAGCTTTGTAGTACAGCTTGAGATCCAAAATTGTGAAGCCTCCAGCTTTGGTTTTCTTTTTCTTTTACTTTTTTTAAAAGCTATTTATTTATTTATGTATTTATATATTTACTTATTCTTTATAACAAGAGGATGCAAGTAAGCGAGAGGTAGAAAGACAAGTGGAGCTCACCTGAAGCAGGGCTTCAGCTCACCCAAACCAGGGCTCATGCTTAGCCAATTCAAGGCTCAAACTCATGAACTGTGAGGTCATGATCTGAGCCAAAGTCATTTGCTTAACTGAATGAGTCACCCAGGTGTCCCTGGTTTTCTGTTTCAACATTACTTTAGCAATTCAGGGTTTTTTCTAATCCCATACAAATTTTAGAATTCTTTGTTGTATGTCTGTGAATAATGCTGGTGTTATTTCGATAAGGATTGCATTGAATATGTAGATTTCTTGAGGTAGTTTTGACATTTTAACAATATTTGTTGTTCCAATCCATTGGCATGAAATGTTTTTTTTCCATTTTTTTGTGTCTTCTTCAATTTCTTTCATAAGCTTTCTATAGTTTTCAGTGTACAGATCTTCTACCCCTTTGGTTAGGGTTATTTGGTTATTCCTAGATATTTTATGGTTTCCACTGCAGTGGGAAGTGGGATTGATTTTTCTATCTCACTTTCTGCAGCTTCATTATTAGTGTATAGAAATACAACCAATTTCTGTATGTTAATTTTATATGCTCTGACTTTGCTGGATTCAAGTATCAGTTCTTGCAGTTTTTTGGTGGAGTCTTTCAGGTTTTTCACATAGAGTATTATGTTCT